GTTACCTCAACTTCTCCCATCGAAGGCCGTTCGTTTGGATTTGGATGAATGCAACTGAGAGCGATCTCCATGAATTCTATCAAACACGCCGGTGCTATCTTCTTTTTCAGAAGTGGATCAATCATATCATTAACACAGCCGTTTGTTATGCATTTAATGATCCCAGAAATGAAATCCTCTTCTGCTGCCATGCGATCAATTACCCTTCTACCGCACAATACTTCCAACAAAACAACACCTAGTGAGTACACATCAACTTTTTCACTAACTTCATGACACATCATATACTCTGGAGGGATATAGCCATAGGTACCCACAACATTTGACTCCCTTCTTGTCAAGGCGTTGGGCTTAGGCTTTGAGATGCTAAGGGAACCAATCTTCGATAACGCAAAATCTGAAAGCTTAGCCTCCCAATTTTCGTTCAGAAGAATATTAGAACACTTGGCATGGCGGTGGATTATTGCATACTTTGCCCCTGTGTGGAGGTAGTGTAATCCACGCGCTGCCCCAATACATATCTCTAGTCTTCGCTTCCACGGGAGTGTGTTAGAAACTGAAAAGAAGGAGAAATATCTGAAGAAAGGTTTATTGCTTTCTTGAATTATACTATATGTACAATGACCTATTTATAGGTGTTTACAAAGAGAATATTCTAAGGTATAAAGTATACAAAGAGAATATTCTAAAGTATAAAATATTTACAATAATTCTAGATATAATTATGTTCACATTTTAACATCCCCCCTCAAACTCAAGGTGGTTGTGATGAAACCAACTTGAGTTTGGAAAGAAGAGTACGAAAGCGTCCAGGAAAATGAGCCTTGGTAAAGAGATCTGCTGGTTGATCAGCGGAGCCAATGAAAACCAAATGAACAGTTCCTTGTGCAACATGATGGCGAATAAAGTGACAATCAATCTCAATGTGTTTAGTGCATTCATGAAAGACATCATTATGAGCAATCTGCATAGCACTTTGATTATCACAATATAAATCAGTAGAAGAAGGTTGAGGAATGCCCATATCTTCAAGAAGCCACCGCAATGAAAGAAGTTCTGATGTGGTATCCCCGAGAGCTCTATACTCAGCTTCTGTACTAGAGCGAGATGGAATAGCTTGTTTCCTACTCCGCCAAGAGATGAGAGAATTACCAAGGAAAAGACAGTAACCGATGGTAGATCTACGATCAGAAGGATCACCGGCCCAATCAGCATCAGAGTAAGCGCGAAGCACAGGGGAGGAGTTGGCAGAAAAATGGAGTCCATGAAATAATGTTCCCTTAACATAGCGAATAATGCGAAGTACTGCTGCATAATGAGTGGAGCGAGGAGCAGCCATAAACTGACTAACAATAT